AGTTTTGATAACTCGCATCTCTCTCTCTTTCTCTCTGAGACAGGGTCTTACTCTGTCATCCAGGTTGGAGTGCAGTAGCATGATTATGGCTCACTGCACCCTTGACCTCTCCAGTGATCCTCCCATTTCAGCCTCCCAAGTAGCTAGGACTGCAGGTATGTGCCACCATGTTCAGCTAATATTTTTTTTTTTTTGAGACCGAGTTTCGCTCTTGTTACCCAGGCTGGAGTGCAATGGCGCGATCTCGGCTCACCGCAACCTCCGCCTCCTGGGCTCAGGCAATTCTCCTGCCTCAGCCTCCTGAGTAGCTGGGATTACAGGCACGCACCACCATGCCCAGCTAATTTTTTGTATTTTGAGTAGAGACGGGGTTTCACCATGTTGACCAGGATGGTCTCGATCTCTTGACCTCGTGATCCACCCGCCTCGGCCTCCCAAAGTGCTGGGATTACAGGCTTGAGCCACCGCGCCCGGCTCAGCTAATATTTTTAAAAGTCTTTTTGTAGAGATGGGGTTTCATTACGTTACCCAGGCTGGTCTTGAATTCCTGGGCTGAAGTGATCTTCCTGCCTTGGCCTCCTGAAGTGCTTTGGTTACAGGCATGAGCCACCATGCCTGGCCTCTTTTCTCTTATTTTCTTGGTCAGACTAGCCAGAGGTTTGTCAATGTTGCTGATGTTTTCAAAGAATCAACATTAATCTACATTATTTTTCTGTTTTCTATTTCATTAATCTCCATATTAAACTTCATGATATCCTTCTTTCTGCTTACTCTGAATTTAGTTTGCCCTTTCTTCTTTCCCAGTTTCTTAAGATGGAAGCATAGGTTATTGATTTGAGACCTTCATTTCTGATAGACGTGTTTACAGATACAAATTTCTCTTTGAGCACTACTTTAAGCTGCATCTATAAATTTTGATATGTTGTATTTGTTTCATTTGATTAAAAATATTTTAGTATCCATTGTAATTTCCTCTTTGACCCACAAACTATTTAGAGTCTATTTAATTTCCAAATAAATGGGGTTTTCCTAGATTTTTTTTCTGTTATTAATTTCAAATTTAACTCTGCTATGGTCAGAGAATATACTTTATATGATTTCAATCTTTTACAACTTGGGGGTTGTTTTGACAACCAGCATACTATCTGTTGTGGAGAATATTCCACGTGCACTTGAGAAGAATGTGTATTCTGAAATCAACTGGTGGAGTTTCAAATACATTTCAGTTATGTCAGTTGGTTGACAGTGCTGTTGAAGTCTTCTATGTACTTCTCTATTCATGCTTTTCTACTGAGTTGTTCTATCAACTGCTGAGAGCACAGTACTGAAATCTCCCGTTACTATTGTTAAATAATCTATTTTTCTTTTCTATTACTTGTTGCTTCCCGTGTCTTGGGGTGCTGCTTTAGGTATATATGTATTTAGAACTGTTATATCTTCCTACTGCATGAACACTTTTATCATTATTAAATGTCCCTATTTTTTTCTCTAATAATATTTCCTATTTTAAAGTCTATTTTGTCTGATTTTAATATACCACTATACCCAGCTGTCTTATGGTAACTGTCTGTGGTTCTTCCATCCTTTTACTTCCAGACTACTTGTGTCTTTTGCTCTAAGGTATGACTCTTATAGACAGCATATAGCTGGGTTTTGTTTTTTTAAAAAATCCAAACTGGCAATCTCTATTTTTTGTTGAGTATTTAGTCTATTCATATTTAATGTGCTTACTGATATGGCTGCTAGCAACAAATCTCTTCGTTTTCATTCATCTGGGAATGTTTTTATTTCTCTTTCCAATTTGAAGAATAGTTTTGCTATATATCAAATCCTTGATTGACAGGTTTTTTTTCCCCCAGCATGTTGAATGTGTCTTTCTACTACATTCTGGCTTCCACTGTTTTTGATGAGAAATTAGCCACTAATTACACTGTTGTTTCCCCATATATGTTGAATAATTTCCCTCTTGCTGCTTTCAAGATTTTCGCTTTTGTCTTTCAATAGTTTGATTACAATGCATCTAGGTCTCTTTTTGTTTATCTTACTTGGGACTCACTGAACTTCTTGAATCCGTAAATAAACATTTTTCAACAAACTGATTTCTTCAAATACTGTTCTAATCCTCTCTTCCCTTCTTCTGGGATTCATATTACATGTATGTTGGTTGCTATATTTGGTATCTCACAGGTCTCTGAGGCTCTGTTCACATTTCTACAATTTAAAAAAAAACCTGTTTTTTTTAATTGAATTACTTCATTTGCTTTACATGCCAGTTCACTTATTCTTTCTTCGGCCATGTCATATCTGCTGAGTCCCTCTAGAGCATTTTCAGTTCAGTTATTGCACTTTTACCTCCAGAATTTCCATTTGGTTCTTTCTTTTCCTTTCTGTAAATAATTTAGATCTCTTTATTGAGGTTTTGTATTCACTGAGTCTTTTTGCTTCAATTCTTTAAACATGGTTTCCTTTTGATTTCCAAATAAATTTAAATAGCTGCTCTGTAGTCTTTTTAGGCTAAATCCAACATCTGAGGACAGACACTCAGAGATAGTCCTACCGACCACTTTTTTACTACACGCAGATCACATTTTCCTTCTCTGAATGTCTCTCATGTTTCTGCTGAGCACTGAGCTTTTTACGTAACATACGGTGGCAACTCTGAAATCTGACTTTCCCCACAAGATTGGTTGTTATTGTTATTTTGCTTATTTAGTAATCTTCCTGGACTAAATCTGTGAATGTGAAATCTGTCTCCCATATAAGCTACAGCTGCTGATGTCTTTACTCAAATTTTTTTCTTGTTTTTATTTTTAATTCTGGCTTCTAAGGGTCATCCTCATGTCTGCATAGCTTAGTGTTCTGGCAAAGACTAGTCAGAAATTTTGCTCCAACACCTTGGGCCAGACTGGCTTCTCTCTGCTCCTGACTGGGTGTGTGGGCTGGGGAGTACATTCAAACCTCAGGCTGTTCTCACATCTGCCCTGGCTTTTACTTTCTGCTAGCTCTTTCACGGCTCCTCTGTGTGTGTATGCAGGCTCCACTGGCCAGGAATATGTGAGCCTGCTCCATCTCTACTGCTCATATACACAGACTAAGTTCAATCTGAGATACATAAAAAAAAACAGCAAGCCCCTGATAGCTGTCTCATCTCTCAGAACTACCTACTAAGTCCCCCAGTGGACCACGGGTCCATTGCTTGTTCCAATGAGGACTGTAAAGTCAAGCTAGTAAAGCTACTGGCCTTTACATGTTCGTGTACCACTGAGTTGGCCTATGTAACAGACAATCCTCCAAACAGAGTGAACCCCTCCTGGAAGCAGCAGTAAGGCTGCTGGTTTTCCCAGCCTGGTTGAATTACCACATTGACAGAGCTGGGGAGGAGGGAATGGGAGTGATGATAGGCAAGAACACCACAGATTCATTCTGTTCCTACCCAAAGGTTAGTAGTTTTCATGAACAAATTCTTCTCAGTTTATTGTATGTCTTTGGTGAATTTTTACAAAACTGAAATGGATGTTTTTGACAGTCTTCTTCCAGCTTTCTAGCTGTTTTTTGGGAAGAAGTTTCATCAACCTCCTCGCTCTGTCATGCTGGAAATCAGTATCTCAGCTGCTTTTTACCTCCTGCTAGAATTGGAATCATTAATGCTATTAAAAAATAGACCATGTGGGCTGGGCACAGTGGCTCATGCCTGTAATCCCAGCACTTGGGGAGGCTGAGGCGGGTGGATCATTTGAGGTCAGGAGTTTGAGATCAGCCTGGCCAACATGGTGAAACCCTGTCTCTACTAAAAATACAAAAATTAGCTAGGCATGGTTATAATCCCAGCTACTTGGGAGACTGAGTCAGGAGAATCACTTGAGCCTGGGAGGCAGAGGTTGCAGTGAGCTGAGATTGTGCCACTGCACTCCAGTCTGGGCAACAGAGTGAGACCCTGTCTCAAAAAATAAAAAATAAAATAGACCATGTGGGTGAAAATACCATTAAAAATCTTATTTTCAAAGCAAAATGTTTGAGGTTTTTTTCTGGAGAAAAATTAACCCAAAAGACACAAAGATAGTCATCTAAAAGCCCAAGTTAAATAATGATTTCACTAAATTAAATTAATTACGAAGCCTCACTCCTTAGAAGCAGCACCTAGGGTACTACAACTTGCCTCCCTCACAGGCCCTAGGAAAATGAAATGTGCCAATAGAAGAAGTGGCCCCACTACGTTTCAGTAAAGATTGGGCATCCCACAGCCACCTTCCCGCTCCTTCTGTTTCTTTGTGGTTTCCCCACCACTTTATCTTATGTTTCACCCATAGTCATTCATATACACAGAGCTCATTCTTAGAATAGACCCTTTTTTTTTTTTTGAGACAGAGTCTTGCTCTGTCACCCAGGCTGGAGGGCACTGGTGTCATCTCGGCTCGCTGCAACCTCTGCCTCAGGGTTCAAGCGATTCTCCTGCCTCAGCCTCTTGAACAGCTGGGACTACAGGCATGTGTCACCACACCCGGCTAATTTGTATTTTTAGTAGAGATGGGGTTTCACCGTGTTAGCCAGGATGGTCTTGATCTCCTAACCTTGTGATCTGCCCGCCTCGGCCAAAGTGCTTAGATTACAGGCGTGAGCCACCACGCCTGGCCTGAACAGTCCCTTTTCTAAGACTTCATAGAAATGCCCCAACCTGGCCATTTATCTGTCTTCCTTTCTCTATCACCTTGGATCAACTGAAAGTCACTTGAGCTCTGGACACCTGCATAGCCTCCAGGAAGGAAATAAGGAGCCTATTCATGAATGCCTTCCAGGACTGTGAAAAAAAACAAAATATGCCATGTTGATAAAACGAGCAGAAGGCCTGAGAAATCATTACCTAAATGAAGGAAGAACCAGGCTCAGGGACAGTACCTAGAAATGGTCTCATGAAGCTCAAACAACTTCACATTACCCAGGCTCTGAGATCTCTGGATACATAGGCTCTTGAGAGAGAATTTCCCAACCCTCCCGTCTCTTACCTTAGCAAAGAAAATCCAGGCTGCACACTGCCCTGGGGCCAGAAGGCTTTTTAGCTTCACTGTACTGAACATGAGAAAGAATCCCAAAAATCCACTGGAAGGAGAAAAGATTATTTCATTAGTGAGGCTTGTCTTCCTTTAGCCAATGGCTGACTAGTTTCTGCTATATTTCACCCATCAGTTTCAAATTATTCCACAACCTCTACCTCATCTGTGTTTTCTACATCTGTAATCTCTAAATGAAAATATAAAAATTTTAAAAGTCATTAAGCTCTGCTTTTGCTATGGTGAGAGAATTTCATTGGTGAGACAGGGTGGTGCAAAGAAATTTCAGAGGTCTCTGGCTAAATCATGAAAGAAAAAAAAACGGTGGAGGACACCTCCTGTTCCTTCCCATAGAAGTTGTGGAGTTTCGGTGCTTGGAAAAGTAGAGCTTAAATTTTTTTCAAGCAAGGCAAACTGGTAGGAAAAGACTTCCAAAGGGAAACTGACCATATGAGAAGAGAGAGTCCGGACTAGCCTCCAGGCTCATAGGAATCTGAAGGTGAAGGCTAACTTCGGTGTCACATATGGCTGAGGCCAGAAGTCCCCCAAACCAGGCTGCCCTGCGACAGAGGTATGCTTTGGAAATGATGTCTACACATGTGTGTGAATGAAAAGATCCCCACTCATGGGAACCTGAGGAAGGAGCAGCATTTGTGGGCCATTCAGAAGTCGGGACCAATAGGCGAGAGCACAGCAGTAGACAGAAACGTGGTTGCCTATGCTGGAACTATTTTCAAAAGTGCCCTGTGTGGCCAGGGCCAAAGCAAAGGGAGCTCCAAATGCTTCCTGCCATTTGGAGGCAGGACAATTGGGGAAGAGGTGAGACAGAGAAAGAGAGAGAGTGAAAGAAAAAGAGAAAGAGACAGAGAGAGAGAAAGGCTGACTTCCTGCAATTATGTGTAAGTGGTAGTTTCGGTGTGACTTTTATTTGAACTTGAAAATTGCAAAGTAAGACATATGACTGCAGTTGTAACTCCAAGCTAGACAGGCAGGTCCTGTGAGGTGTACTGCGTTTGCATCTCCAGACCCTCGATTGCCACTTTCCCGTCTGACCTTATTACAGGCACTAATGTGCAGCGCCAACACAGATCACAAGTTCTGAGCAGGAAAGACCCAGTCTTGGGTTGCTCTTTGTATTTTCAACAGAGCCTAACATGGTGTCTCAGTTACAGTACACATTAACTAAATGCTTGTCAGATTCAATTGGAAGCAGGTTGAATTGAACTGAACACACCTAAGGCCAAATGTCACAGAAATGCGTACCTTTGCTTCATTAGATTAGACTAGTTCACAGCCACATTCTTGGGGCAAGACTAAAGACAGGCATTAGGTTTCCCCTGTGCGTATTTCAGCCTGTTTGGCCCTGATGACCTGCAAAGTTTGTTCCGATTTGCATCGGCAGTCATGGGAGACTGAACAGCTATGGATCAAGATGTCAAGTTACTCACATCCGAAAAGTAAAGAGGCCCCGTGGGTAAGCAGCAGGCCAACCCAATCACACCGAGTGCCTGCACTTCTGTTCCTCGCTGTGCTCACTGACCCTCGTGACCTTAACCAAATCCCCAAATCCGTGACCTTAACCAAATCCCCAAATCCCCCTTTCCACCTTTTTCTTGTCTCAAGTTCAGTTTTCTTTTTTTTTTTTTTTTTGAGACAGAGTCTCACTCTGTCGCCAAGCTGGAGTGTTGTGCAATCTTGTCTCACTGCAACCTCCACCTCCAGGTTCAAGCGATTCTCCTGCCTCAGGCTCCTGAGAAGTTGAGGCTACAGGTGTGTGCTACCATGCCGGGCTCATTTTTGTATTTTTAGTAGAGACGGGGTTTCACCGTGTTAGCCAAAATAGTCTCCATCTCCTGACCTTGTGATCCGCCCGCCTCAGCCTCCCAAAGTGCTGGGATTACAAGGTTCAGTTTGCTTAAAGTAGAAATCATCATAGCAGTCATCATCCTATCTTAACGGAAACCAGAGGCTTTTAGAACGGTAAGATTACCTAGCCCCAAAGTCTTCCTTTACTAACAGCGAAACTGGGGCACAGGTACAACTAGAATCCAGGTCTCCATGGCTCTTCAGATCTCTGGACAGCAAGGGCGCCGGCACAGCAGTGGACAGATGTAGTTGCTGTGCTGCAAGTCTTCTCAAAAGGGCCACTGTGTGGCCAGGGCCAAAGCAAAGAGAGCTCCAACTCTTCCTGATATTTGGAGGCAGCACAATTGGGGAAGAGGTGAGGCTTCATGGAAAGGTTCTTGACCAGCTAGGTAAAGAGTGAGATGTGCCAGGCGCTGGTGGTCATGAGGGTAGGGCTGAAAAGGGAGGTAGCCAGTGCTCCAGGCTCCTTTTGCTGGCTCCCACCTCTGCGTCCAAGGAGGTAACTTCACAGGTGCCGGCCCAACCTCTCAGACTTCCTTTCCCTCGAGTCTTTCCCTCTCCTCCCTGCCTCTAGCCACAGGAGTAGCATGATTCCACATTGACTGTCCCCTCAGTGCAGACTCTGGGCCCGGATAAGCTCGTGCCGGTTTGTGACTGACAGGCTTGTGGAAGGATCTGGGACTCTTTCCCATCGCCTGATTTGTATGTCTGTGACTCATTTTTACATTACTCGTGGATCCCTTATCTTTCTCTGTGCACTTTCAGCTCGTCTATCCCTTGCTAGGGAGGCAGATCGGAAAAGCAGAGGGAGGTTCTCAGAAGTGAAGGAGTCTGGGAATAAGAGACTCCGGCTAATGGGGTCTTTGGGCTACGGCTACCATGCCACCCTGAGCTCCCCCAGAACCTCCCAAAAGTGACAATGCTCAGTCTGAGATACGGTGGAGCCTCTGAAATGACACGGAAAATCGACGCATCCCTCAAAGAGGCTGAGCTCTGTAGAGAAGCATGGGTAAAATGTAACAGAGTCAAATCAATTCAAATAGAGATTTCCAGATCTTTAGAATAAAAAAAAAGAAACAGCAGATTTATCATGTTGCATTATGGGAAAGTTGCAGATTAAAAGGGGCAGAAATAGAGCCCAATTGTCACCCCACAAAGCCACCATCAATGGGCTACGAACTGTGCTGCTCTGTTCCAAATAACCAAACAATGGCTGACCCTGCTTGCCCATGCTGCCAAATAACCAGACTCAAAGGGAAACAAGTCTGCAGCTGCCCGCCCAGCACGAAGACTCACGTCATGTGATTCCAGCTAACGGGCAAGGCCTAATCAATTGACAGGAACTGGGAAAGTGAATTGTGTCAGTGTTTTCCTGAATCTTTTCTAAGGTGATAAATAAATCATTCCGAGGCTCAAATGCAGAAACAAACTCTATAATATTGATTCTTTTTTCTTTTGGCCGGAACACAGCAGAGGAACAGGACATATCCACTAGCCACACAGCAGCTTTTTAACATTGTAAAGAGTCACTGCTTCACAAGGCATTGTTTTGTATGTGTGGGAACAGGCAACCTGACTTTTACACAGCAATTCTTCACGGTCTATTGACATGACATTTATAGTCAACCCGAGTAGATAATCATAATGGCCACCATTTATTGGGCCAGGCACAAAGCTTAGGACCCAAAGATCACACAATTAGCAACAGCAATTGTGGGGTTCAACCCAGGTTGGTCTTTCTACCATATTAGAATACCACACATGCTTTGGGCCTATCCACAGAAGGCTTTCCACTTCTCAGCATGCCGAGGTCAAGCAGAGTGGTGATCATGGCAGGACATGGGGCGAGGGCGAGGATACACCTCTGTGTGTTCGGATGCAGCCCTCTAACTGGACTATATCCCTGAGTCCTTCCCAAGACCAAGCACTAATGATCACCTTGTTGTCTAGGCATCTCCTAGTCATCAGTTTCCAAAATCTATTTCTCAGAGTCTTCAGGTTTGGTGGAGGTTATTTTGGAGGTTGCCTTGAAGAGCAAGAAGGAGGCCAAGGTAAAAGCTGAGCAGGTGGGATTCTGAACCTAAATCTTCCCTTTAACTTGATCCGTTTCATCAATTTTATATATTGCAATTCTATGTGAGATTTGCTTGTGGAGGGCGAAAAAAGTGGGAGAATCCTTGGTCTTCAGCAAAGTGTGAAAACCACTTTGTTGGTTTTCACTGTCTTGTGGGAGGCACTTCCACGGGCCCAAGCTGGCCCTGAGTGTCTGAGGGGGCTAAGTGACAGCCTGCTGGTGACGCAGTGACTGCTTCCCCACCTGCACCCACCACCACTCTCTCCTGCCACTCACTCGAGTCACCAGCAGTGACCTTGAGCTTCACAGAGAGGAAGACACAGTGGACAGCACAGAAAGCATTCACATGAATGAGCTTAACATTACCTGGCACAGCAGCTGCCATGGAATCTGTAGAAGTACAGGAATGGGAAGTCCAGGACGCTGAAGAGATCACCTGAGGGGCAGAGCAATGGTGAAACAGTGACCCATGCGGCCTCATGTGCCCCTCTGCCCCCTGCCATCCCAGGAGGGGGTCTTTAGCAGGCCTGTGTTTTCAGTCCCCGGGCATTAAATTAACTCTGACATCCCCAGGGATTCTGTTACTGACATTGTCTTATCATGATAATAACATTATGATGATAATAATGCCCATTTAGTGAGAGCATGCCTTGTGCAGGGCCCAATGCTAAAATCTTTAGGTATTTATCTCTTTCAATCTTAGTAACAACTCTGTGAGGTTTTATTATGTCTATTTAAACTGGGGCTCAGGGAAGTTAAGAAACATGGCTAAAATTGCACAACTATGGAGCCAGAATGTGAACTCTAGTCAATCTAAACCCTAGGCTGACTCCTCTCTACTAGGCAGCCAACCCTCCACAAGAGAGTGTGCAGGATAAAAGAATCTTTTTCAAGAGTTTTTTCTTCTTTTCTGCCTTATATCTAAAAAAAGGTCATGAAGGCACTGCCCTGACATTTTTTTATTTTTCATTTTCATGTTTAATGACTGCAAGAACAGCACGGGGGCCAGACCAACTGTGCAAATTCATTTTAGTTGGAGGTCCAAAGGGTACATTTATTTCTTGTGAAGTAAGTTCATTCTTTTAGTTCCAGTTGGTGCAAGAGGAAATAATCACACATACTGGCTGCTTCTCTCTCTGGAATTTGAACTTGGTCACAAACAAGAAGTCAGGAGATTAAAACAGCAGAAAGCCTTCCAAAAATGTCCGGAGAAAAGGAATGAAGCATTTCCACAGCAGATAGCTTGAGCCTTCCAAATCTGAAATGTCTGAATCCCCTGGAGAGCTCTGTCTTCCAGACCCCTGGGCCTTGGCCTGTCTCTCAGTTCTGGGGGTTGAGGGAAGGGGGCTGATTTCCCTCAGTATTGCTAGTATGTTAGGTGTGCTGTGGAACACACAGGCAGCATTTCCTTCACCATTATACTATTACTCAAGAGTTTCAGATCAAAAGACACAATGGGCTCCTACGCTTTCTTGGAGACCCAAAGGATCTCAAATGATTCAACTATCTATTGGGAAGGCAAGTTCTGAGTTCGATTTCTCTGGAGGGCTTTTTAAAGTTATGACTGTTATTTTCTTTGTTTCTGCAAGTGAGTGTGTGTTTAACTATAAGGAGGGGATTTCTTGGGATCTGGTTTTCAGGCAGCACAACAAGAGTTCTTGTTTTCTTTCAGCCACGATTTCTCTAAAACCTCTACTGTCAAATTGGGACCTCTGTTGGTAGAGGGAATTTGTCATGGAGAACATCAGTTGTCATTTACAGTGAGAAGAGCATGGATATATCCTGAAGTTCCTTTTCACACGGAAGTGATAAGCAAGGGTGCCCTGGGGACCCCAAACCCAGAGAGTGGCCACAGCCCTCCACTGAGGCAGGTGGAGGCAGAGTCTGTCCACGTCCATGGAGAATTCGTTCTGTCTCTTTGGCAGTGGTGGGCTCTTGGCCCTTTCCCAATTTTCCTCTCAGGCTGAGAGGAACTGCAGCACAGCCAGTGTGGTCATGAGGAACGGCGGAGAGGGGGACAAATGAAACCCAGGACCTTGAGGCCCCTCAGGCTGTGCCCCACCCAGCACCCCGTCTTTCATCAGAAACGCTCCAGCAAGGTAAATGGGACTCACGGTGCATGGCAGCTTATCCAGCACAGCCCACGTTTTGGAGGGGGTCTAAAGAGCAGAAGTGTGGTCAGAGGAAGACTGGGAGGGAGGAAAAGAAAGAAAGAAAAAAACCCACAGTCCTCAGGAAATAATAACCCCCACCCAAATCCTGAAAACCCCATAAATTAATGACAGAGAGAAAATAAGAGAGTAACTAGCCCTTACCTTTGAACCAGTTCTAAAACCGTCACACCTGTATCACACAGCACTTAACTGACTTCACACCTGTTCCTCCTCCTAGAATTATCGAGTCCTTGAGAGGTGGGACGCTATTTTACTCATCCCTGCACCCACTGTGTGCAAGCGCCATACCCAACACACCCAGCACACAGCCAGCACTACCAGATCGAGAGTGTCGGAAAGACCTGATCATCTCCTGCCTTCCCTAGAGCGAATGTTCTAGTTTCCAGCTGGCTCTGTGGTCAATTTCAAGCCGACCTCAAATAGTCCCCTTTGATGCCTTCCACCTGTCTTCTCTAAGTAGTACTCTTAAGCAGAGAGTGCAGCAACCCCGGAACGGCAAATGTTAGTGACTGTGCTATCAATACCCCCGGAAGAGGTTGCAGCGTGTGGCTGGCTGGCCCCAGCCACAGGCAAACTCAATCCAGGAGCCTAAAAAATTGCTGCAAGACAACACTCCTGCACCATCTAGTGCTGAACTACACTGCTTAAGCTCAAATCGAGTGGCTAAAGAGTTGTAAACATGTTTTGCTACAGCAACATGCGGCTTACGCAATGGAGCCCGAGTTGGGCCCTCGCTCTTGTATTCTGCAGTTAAAATTCCGCTGACTCTGAGTGAGCGAGTGAATCCCATTTCTCTAAAGATTACGAAGCATGAAATTGCCACGGTGAAAAGTGTGGCACGATACAACCACATTCAAGACTAACTGATATTTGAACGTGAGGAAAATTTCCTCTCATGTTCTCGCCCTCAAAACTGGCAGGAAAACAGGGGGTCGGTTCCAAGCAGTGATTAGTGCTGCCTGCTCTGTCTCACACATGAGTGACAGACACACCAGGTAACAAGGTTGTTTCTGGGTCAGGTTCCTGCGTCTTCCTGTTCCTCTCCCGTTCCCTGAAATTTCCTAGAGCTCTCTTGAACACCACAGCTAAGGGGCCCCATACAAATAGGAAGTATAAACTCTTTAACAGGGGAAATTCCCTGTTCTCTACTATACTTAAAAGAGTGCAAGGGGAAAGGTGGTCCTCTTCTCAAGGAAGGTTACGAGATTCTTGGAGCCTTGACATGAATCGTGAAGTCAAAAGGCTAAATGGATTCCACCCACCAAGCAGCAAACTCTGGTGGGGCACGCTGAGGGCACACGGAACCGCCTGCCTGAGTCCCACCACCGTTGCCCACACACTCCAAAGGTGCATCTGTAAGAGAGCCCCACTTTCCAATCAGTAGAGTGTGAGGAGAGAAGCGTGGTCAAAAGCACTACCCAGAAGCCCTCACACACCCTCTAGAAGAGTTCAGATAGGACTGACAACGGTTACGTGCTGGTGAGGATGTGGAGCAACTGGAACTCTCACACACTGCTGGGTGGGAGTGGAAAATGGTACAAACGTTTTAGAAAAAACCCTTTCTTAGAAAGTGAAACATACATCTACTCTAAGACCCAGAAATCCTATTGTGAAGTATTCATCCAGGAGACATGAAAACGTAAGTCCACAAAAAGGCTGGTGTGAGAATGTTCAGAGCAGGCACAAGCTGGGAACAGCCCAGGTGAGCATCAGCAGGTAAACAGATAAACAAGCATGGTATATCCATACAATGGAACCCTACTCAGCAACCAAAAGGAACAAACTCACGATACACACAGCAACATGAATGAATCTCTAGACGTTGTGCTGCATGTAACAGCCAGACACAAAAAGTACTAATGATTCTATTTATAAGGGTTTGAGAATAGACAGAATTTATCTATGGTAACAGACATCAGATCTGTAAAGGCCTTCACGGTGTGGAGAGAGAGTGACTAGGAAGGTGCAGGAGGAAGCTTTCTGCAGGGACAGAAATGTTCTGCATCTTGATGGGGTATAAGTTACGCAGGTCCATAGATTTGCCAAAATTGATCGAGCTATACAGTAAATTATTTATCAATTTAAAAATGTTTTTGAAGTACTATCAAATAACTAAGATACAAATAATAAAAGAAGGGCATGGGATGTGGTGGCTCAAGCCTGTAATTCTAGCACTTTGAGAAGCCAACGCGGGTGGATCACTTGAGGTTAGGAGTTCAAAACCAGCCTGAACAACATGGTGAAACCCCATCTCTACTATACAAAAATTAGCTGGTGTGGTGATGGGCACCTGTAATCCTAGCTACTCGGGAGGGTGAAGCAGGAGAATCACTTGAACCCAGGAGGCAGAGGTTACAGTGAGCAGATATCACACCACTGCACTCCAGCCTGGGCAACTTAGTGAGACTCTGTCTCGAAAAAATAAAATAAAATAAAAAAGAAGGGGTAAGAAGAAACCAAAAAGAATTGAGCCCAGCTGTAAAATGTCTGAAAGTATGAAAAGATCCTTCCAAGAAGACTGTCCCTATGGAGGCTGACTCTGTGTCTTAAACTGGGGCAGTGGGGAACCAGGAAGACAGCTCACCCCAACCCACACTCAGGCCCTGCAGCGGACGGTCTAGATGGCAAGCAAGTGAGAAAGAATAAAGTGCTGTCCTACCTTGCAATGGGCTAGACACCATGGGTCCAATCAGAAAGCTAATGAATGAACTGGCAGGAATTGGAACCATCCTTTAAGAGCTGCCCTGCTCCCTTACAGCAAGGAAGCCCACAGTCACTTCTGCTGCTGACACAGCCAGTGCCACGGCCCGGCAAGACCTTTCTTATAAGCCTGACTTTCTGTACCTGGCCTCTGCAATGACACCACCTCAGCTAGCAGGAAATGGCAACAAATCAAAGTAGCAGACAAGAGTCCTTCAAGGGCACAATCAGGGCATTGTGGAGCCTGCTGGATTCATCAGAGAGAGTCTTGGGACACTGGGTTGCCCACCGCAGACCCATCCCCCATCCTGCAGGAGAGGGCAGGGAAGGTGAACATCTATGTCCGTTCTTTTTCAAAAATCATGAAAATATAACTTGAAGAAAAATTAATCCATGCAAGTATCCCTTCTGGCATAATTAGGCTCCAAACAGGTTTTCAAATGAGAGCGATGTCCTTGTATTCCCCAAATATATTTTCTAATTGAGATATAATTTGCATATTATAAAACTCACCCTTTTAAAATGAGCACTTCAGTGGTTTTTAGTATGTTCATAGAGTTGTGCAACCATCACCACTATCTAATTCCAGAACATTTTCATTACCTCAAGAAGAAACTGAAGCCTATTTTAAATTACTCCTTTGCCCAGGACATTCTATAGCCTTATATTTCTGACCACTTCGTAGTGCCAAAGAGTAATTAAGTGTCCAAGGTATTTATGTATTGACCTAAAAGTTTAGCAGTAACTCAAGGAAAACATTAGACTGTTGGCCAAAATGTCTAAGCTATTACCAACAGTCACCATGTTCAGAAAACACATCTCCAGAACCAAAAGCAGTTCCAAACAGAAATTTAAGAACATTGTACAAAAGCTTTCTCTGGAGTAGGACACTTTATAATAAAGTATAGGGGGGCAGGTGTGGTGGCTCACACCTGTAATCCCAGCAATTTGGGAGGCTGAGGCAGGCGGATCACCTGAGGTCAGGTGTTTGAGACCAGCCTGCCAGCATGATGAAACCCCGTGTTTACTAAAATTACAAAAATTAGCCAGGCATGGTGGCAGGTGCCTGTAATCCCAGCTACTCAGGAGGCTGAGGTAGGAGAATCACTTGAACACGGGAGGCAGAGGTTAAAGTGAACCAAGATCGCGTCACTGCACTCCAGCCTGGGCAACAGAGCAAGACTCCATCTCAAAAATAACAATAAAGTGTCGGATCACTTTATTGTTATTGTACTTTATTGTTACTTTGATAAAGTATAAGATCAAAGAGCAGCATTGAAAAATCACTTTATTGTTATCGCTTTATTGTTACACTTTAATAAAGTGTAGGATCAAAGAGTAGCATTTAAAAAGAAAAACCTAGAAAGAGGGTCAGGAGACCTATCCCCAGTCTCCCTCTGCTCCTCACCTACCCTGTATCATCTTGGTCACATCACTTAACCCCTCAGGGTTTCAGTCTCCACATTTGTATTAGGTTGGTGCACAAGTAATTAATACAATTTGGTGGCACCTGGGATAATCACTAAGATTCCTTTCAGCTCTGACCATCATAAGTGTAACAAATTAACAAGCACAACCTCTTAGTGGAAGGGCAGCATGATTTCTTTAGGTAAAAATTATTCACCCAGCCAGGCGTGGCAGCTCATGCTTATAGTCCCTGCACTTTGGGAGGGCGAGGTGGGCAGATCACTTGAGATCATGAGTTCCAGACCGGCCTGGCTAACATGGTGAAACCCCATCTTTACTAAAAATGCAAAACTTAGCCAGGCGTGGTAGCAGGTGCCTATAATCCAAGCTACTTAGGAAGCTGAGGCAGAAGAATTGCTTGAACCCAGGAAGTAGAGGTTGCAGTGAGCTGAGACATACCACTGCACTCTAGCCTGGGCAACAGAGTAAAACTCCATCTCAAAAAAAAAAAAAAAAAAATTATTCACTCAAGTCCACTAGAAATAAGTCATGATGTAAACGTATATGTAAACCAAGAAGAATCTGTGAACATAACTTTCCAAAGGCCTTTGACAAAAGCACAATTCAAAGGGCAGGATACTCAGGAGGCTCTAAAATGTCTGCTGGGTGGCAGCTGCCTGGCTACATAAAGAAATGATAGGAAACACAACTGAAAGGCAGACAGCCGGCAGTATGGGTAAGTGGAACCCGCTTAGGGTTAACAGCCTGGCTTCACAGGACTTACTATTCTAAGAATGATAGACTTTGAGCAAATGACAGCAGCGGGGGACTCAACAGTAAACTTCTGAGTTTTGAGAAGTCATCATTCACAGGAGCAGGCAGACAGTGGGAACTGTGCTTTCACATGGCAAGCAGAGTGTAAGGTATTAAGAAAAAAGTATTCAAGTTATCCTTATGAGACATGGATTCAGATATGTCATATACAATCTAGAAACATTATTCTTGATTCACTATCAGCAACTCCCTGAGGATCCTCATTCAGATAGCAGGTAAAACACCAACAGAAAGAAGCAGCTAAAAACACCAGCAGAAAGCTGTTACTGCTTTTGAGCACAGGATGAGAGCTCGAAGGGACCTTAGAAAGCTGCCAGTTCACCGTTCTCATTTTCTAGATGCGAAAGCTGGGACCTAGAGGGCTGGGGTAATGCCTTCTGTATAGCAAGTGGTCAGTAAACATTCATTTTGTAGTTTGTTTGAAAAAAATGATCTTAAGCCCACTCAGTAGGGGAGCCAAGGAAAATTCCAATTATTCTGAGTCTATTCTTTGCACCACACTCCACGAAGCCACAGAGAATGACCAATAGAACGTGTATTTTCAGCCATGCCACACACAGACATTATCGTTTTAACTTTTGGGGGGGGATGGAGTCACGGAGTCTCACAGTGTCACCCAGGCTGGAGAGCAATGGTGCGATCTCAGCTCACTGCAACCTCCACCTCCTGGATTCAAGAGATTCTCCTGCCTCAGCCTCTGAAGTAGCTGGGATTACAGGTGTCCGCCACCATGCCCAGCTGATTTTTTGTATGTTTAGTAGAGACGGGGTTTCACCATGTTGGTCAAGCTGGTCAAATCTCGAACTCCTAACCTCAAGCGATCCACCCACCTCAGCCTCTCAAAGTGCTGGGATTACAGGCATGAACCACCATGCCCGGCCATTGTTTTATCTTTTGGCATCAACTTCAAAGCCTTTCAAAGCAAAAATCTGTGATGGAATAGGGTCTTGTGGGTAATTCCTAAATCTGAAAAGCAGCTACAGAGCAATTGAGGCAGCAATAGAGTGGAGATACATTTTAAAAACTGACTTCTTTCATCTGCAATTATGAGAATCATGGTGACACATGATACAAACTTAAAAAAAAAAATGATGCCAGATAGAGCATAACACTGATTTGCAAAATTCAAACAAGAATTAGAGCACCAACTCTGCTTCACTTATTTCTTGTATTTACCCCTTAATATTTTATTTGAGGTTACCCTTTGGGGTGATTCTGATAATGGAATTTAGGGTACCATAGCAGGCCCTGAGACACATTTTGGGATTGCAAGAGGCCCCTCATATTCTCCTATAAGAACAATAACTTCTGCTCCTGAAGTTATAACCAAAAAAGGATTCAGGGAGTTTTTTGAACTTTTGAACGTTTTCACCAAATCTTTTAACAATAGAAATGAACAGCAGGCCAGGCGCGGTGGCTCATGCCTATAATCCCAGCACTTTAGGAGGCCAAGGTGGACAGATTATGAGGTCAGGAGTTCAAGAACAGCCTGACCAATATGGTGAAACCCTGTCTCTAGTAAAAATACAAAAATTAGCCAAGCGTGGTGGCGCATGCCCGTAGCCCCAGCTACTCAGGAGGCTGAGGCAGAAGAATTGCTTGAACCAGGAGGCAGAGGTTGCAGTGAGCTGAGATCATGCCACTGCACTCCAGCCTGGGCTAGAGCGAGACTCCATCTCAAAATGAATGAATGAATGAATGAATGAATGAAATGAAGAACAATTCAGGATGCTTGGAAAAGGAATTTCAGAAGACGGCAAAATAGGCACTACTTTACTCAGCAGGAAATGGACCTGTATATATATCTGAGACCATACAGGAAGAAAACACAGACAACAAGAAGGGGTAAGAATACATTCCTGGGCGATAAATTGCTTTATTAAGGGCAGTTTAAAAACAGGTGGGACTTTCCTCCCCTTGCAGTCACCCTTGGCTGGGCAAAAACATTCTCTCGTGAAATGTCTCTGAGAGACAGGCTCACTGGGTCCAATAAGCCACGTCAGACAGACAGACAGAACAACACTCGGGTGGCGTTTACCTGTGGGATGAGATGCAAATGCCAGGAGCACCACACTGGAAAAGAGAAAGCAAAGTGGTCAAGAAGGTTCCCTGGCACCAAAAAAAACCCTACCCATTCCCACCCATTTATTTGTAAATAGTTAAAATTGCCTAAAAGCAAATTATCTGCGCTGACTCATTCTGCCTAAATCCAGCTCCTCGGAGAGAGTAAGAATGTCTTGAAATGCCTCATGTTTTGGCAAGAGGACTGCCTCCTGGGACAGGCTTGGGACGGAGTGTGAATCCATGTCTCAACGTGAGAGTCCGCTGGGTCTCTTTTCTTGGTCCTGGCTGACTCTAATTACGATCATACTCACCTACTCTACCAAGAGTATTTATCGGCTAAACAAACTCCAAATTAAAATGGATTGCAATGTAAAAGCTAGCTGTTGTGTGTGAGCTACATATATTTTTGCCACACAATTAGCTGTGTAGAAGATAGCTAAATTTCCAAGAGGCGAGCCCACAATTGATCCAGCCCATCCACCGTGTGGCTGAAAACTACCTTTACTGATTTTCAATAGATACCACAGAGGGGAAAGAATGAAAAGAGAATCAAGAGGAGTGTTCCTTTGATGTGAGCCCCGTTCATCCTTGGCACCCTCCCATCACCCTCTCTAGAAACCCCTCCCATTCCCCCTCGCCCCTCTGCAGTGCCTTCACAAGGCCAAATCCCACTTGGGGGGCCCCCCACCCTCTGCAACCTCTTCTATCAAAACTCTTGCCACCCAGGCAGCCTTGATATAAATCAAGTTAGAGGTTAGGAATAAAACATGTTATCTAAGTATGGGAGGGCATTTTTTAAAGTGCTGGATGGCCTGCTCTGGTTCTAAATCCTGGCTGCATATCAGAATAGCCCAGCATCCTGGCTGAAATCGGAATCTCTGAGGAGCAGGCATCAGTTGTTTTATTTTGTTATGGCCCCCCAGTGGCTCTAAAGTGCATCAGGATTGGGAACCACCACAAGGAATCCCCAGCTGGTGGTGACATCCCAGGCAGAGTGGAGGAAGAAGGCTGTGAGCACAGAAACCACTGGGAGCCCCGCCTGCTCTGAGGGTTGTCTCCCGGTGCCATTTCTGTGTTTCTTGTGCTTTTCCTTTGCTCTTCCTATAAAGCTCAGGTTCTCTGATGGCCCCAGGGCAGCAGCAGAGTGGCTAGCAGAGGCTAGACAGGAGGTTTGGGAGAAAGCCAGTGGGAAGAGCCACGCATCCATCCAGTCATTGAGAAGCTGTAGGTCTGTAAGACAGGGCTGCATGTAGCTATGAGACTGGAGGCTTCACAATAATTAGCCCTTTGCATGGACTCTATGTCTTTGCTTGCCATCTCGCCTTTCTTTGGAAAATATATACCCTGTACATACTCCATTATTTTACCTCCCTGAATCCCTCTGTGGTTATAACTTCGGGAGCAGAAGTGATCACTCTTACGGCAGGATATGAGGGGCCTCTTGCCATCCCAAAACACCTCCCAGAGCCTGTCATATACCCCAAATCCCATCATCCCAGAATCACCCAAAGGGTAACCTCAAATAAAAGATTAGGAGGTAACTATAAGAAATAATTAAGTGAAGGAGTTGGTCCTTTAATCCTTGTTTGAATTTTGCAAATACATTGTTAAGCCACTCCTAACTCCTACCAAAGCAGGCCATTCAGCACCTGAAAACAAAATTCCCTCCGATACTTAGATAACGTGTTTTATTCCTAACCTCTAACTCGATAGGCCGCCTGGATGGCATGAGTTTTGACAGAGAGGTTGCAGAGGGTGAGGGACTGGGCCCCCCACAGCAGGGTTCAGCAGTGTAAAGGCACGGCAGAGGGGTGCTGGGGGACAGGAGGGGTTTCCAGAGAGGGCAATGAGAGGGTGTCAAGGATGAATGGGGCTCACATCAAAGAAAACTCCTCTTCATTCTCTTTTCATCCTTTCCCCTTGGTGGCAGCTTACACTGCGACCTCCTTGAGGGCAAGGACCATATTTGATTCATCTTTGGATCCCTAGCAGTGCCAGGCATCAAGTGGCAGGTTCTCAGTAAGTTTTCTGAACTGGAATTCATCACCTCTAGGTGTACTGTGGTGGGACTATGTTTGTTTGAAGAAAAATGTAACTTGAAGCCCTGTATACTTTTTTTTTTTTTTCCTGAGGCAAAATCTCCCTCTGTCGCCCTGGGCTGAAGTGCAGCGGCGTGATCATAACTCACTGTAACCTTCAACTCTGGGGCTCAAGTGATCCTCCTGCCTCAGCCTCTCAAAGCGGAAACCCCTTATAGTTCTAAGATTATAAATTACATGTAAATTATAATGAAGAAATTATACTAATATAAAAGAGGCATATCATGCTGTTGTAGTAAGCAGGCTCATTCTCTGCTTGGCTTGGGACAAGGGTACAAACAGAAGTCCACATACCATATTTAAAAGTTAGGAATCAAGCCTCAAACTTCATCCTGCCTTAACAAAAATACCTTCAAAATACCCTGAAAGTCTAGATGAAAATGTAGAATTCTTGGGCTCCCTGATGCTGCATGTCAGAGTGTAGCAGCCCAGGGCAGCCTCTGACTCCTGGCTGCCAGTGCCCCCCTTTTCTTTTCATCCCAGGATCCATCCTGCAGCCCCAGGGCCTCACACATGTGTGTGGACACCTGAGCCTGCAAGGTCACCTCCACCTACATGCCTGCCCACTGGCAGCCTCTCTTTGGACACTCCTTGGGCTTGGGAATGAGTTGGGAAGACAGACCGGGAATCGAGCTCAGGGACACAGGTGGGGGATTCAAGGACACATCCAAAAGCAAGAAACGTCCCTTAGCCTCACAGATGCCACACTCAGGAGGAGGGGCGTGGCCCTCTGAAATTCAGGGCCTGAGAGAGGCCCCTCTTGCTTGGTCTAAAGGCAGGACTACTGTTTGGTTTCCTCAACTCTAGTCATCTCACAAATTTCGTAACTTGCCTTCCTGGCAGGCACACGGGCTCAGAACTCTTCAATCAAAATAATATTGAAAAATAAAAATCCATTAGCCCTAAAAGGATATGAATGGCTCTTTTAAAATGTAAATTAATTTTACCTGAATATGTAGTTTAAGTATTGCTGGTCAATATCACTAAGGAATGAGAGAGAGAGAAAATGTTAAATGAAATAGCAGAACTATTCAAATACATAAAATAATAATTACCTTCTATAAATAAATCCTACTTTAATTACTACTTTTGTAAATTATCCATAAATAGAAGGAAAAGTATTTAATATTCAAAACCAGTTCCTAGTTCATTTTAAATCACACATATTTTCACCTGTGGGCAACTGTTTCCCATGTGTACATCTGTCACTTTCAAAGTAGAGTCAACTATCTTAGGCCACTGGACTGGCTTCTGGGGCTACCATATTTAACAAGTAAAAATACAGGGCAATCAAATACATTTGAACTTCAGATAAAAAGTAATGTTTTAGTGTAAGTACCGCATGTTCCAAATATTACAAAAATTATTCAAGGCTTATCTGAAATTCAAATGCAACCAGGCATCCTGTATTTCACCTGGCAACTCTCCTGGCTTCTTGCTACAAAAATACTTTATTAAAAGAACAAAAGGTGCTCCAGGGAGTGAAAGCCCCACATTCTCAAAGTGGATGACCTTCTCTCAGGAGTCATTCCCTTCAGATCTTCTCTCTTTAGGCCTTCAGCAGGCCTCAAAACCCAGAGGCCAGCTGGCCGGTCTAGGGGCACTGGCCTCATCGCTCCAGGCCTAAAGCCATATCTTTTTTTCATTTACATTCACCAAGGCTGCTCCACTGACTGCCTGCAACAAAGCCTCATTTTACCCAAGAATGGAGCCAGTAAGTGGAGAGACTTCTGGGTCTAAAGTTAGAACAGGGCTGGGGAAACAAGAAAAAGTACTGTCCCTCTGTGCTAGATGCAGCTGATTGGAACCCAAAGCAGCTGGCCACAAACATTTCATTTACATGTCATCTAAGTGGTGCCCCTGAAGGAAGGAGACTGAGACTTCCATGCCTCTTCACACACGGCTAAAGGCAGACACGTTTTATGTGTTGGTGGACCCAGCCTGGAGTGGCCCAAACAGCAAGAAGAGGGACGGCTTCAAGGGCTAAGTCCCCTGCCCTTGCCACAACCCAGGCCTGCAGAGTCTCTGGCTGAATGGAAAAATCTCATGATACCACAAGTCTCACCCCTCTCCTTTAACCCAATCACAGCTCATCAAACATTAAGACTTTACCTCGGCTGGGTGCGTTGGCTCACGCCTGTAATCCCCACACTTTGGAAGGCCAAGGCAGGTGAATCGTCTGAGGTCTGGAGTTCAAGACCAGCCTGACCAACATTGGATAAACCCTGTTTCCACTAAAAATACAAAATTTGCCCAGCATGGTGGTGCATGCCTGTAATCCCAGCTACTCGGGAGGCTGAAGCAGGAGAATCATTTGAACCCAGGAGGCGGAGGTTACAGTGAGCCGAGATCGCGTCATTGCACTCCAGCCTGGGCAACAAGAGCGAAACTCCATCTCAAAAAAAAAAAAAAAAAAAAAAAGGAGTTTACCTTAATGCACTGGGTTTCTGAAACTTCTGTAGTATTTTATAAGCCCCTGAAAATGAAATAAAACATGTCACTGGTCATGGCATTCTACTCAAGGAGCTCCTGGCATGTCCAGGGAAACAGAAAATCCACATGGATAAAGGCCTCCAAAGGCACAACTGCTGGTCCTTTTCCCTATGAGGGACACACCCAGCTGACAGAAGACCATCAACATTTGGAAGGTTTCAAGGGTACAAATGCAATAATCCTCTGTTAATGCAGTCCATCCTTCCAGTGGTCCCCAGAGTGCTGGACATGGAAAGTGTCATGATCAATGAAGGACACCATTAACGGGAAGGTTTCACTTCCTTAACATGACGCACATGAAAAAAGAAACACTGCTGGATTTCTGAAAACTTCTGAGCTGTGTTAACAGAGCACTGCTTTTCCCCTTAAGACTACAGACAAGCAACACGCAACATATAATTTGTAATAAAATCAGATGGTCCTTTTATTTGACCAGCTTAAATTATTTTGGTAAATTACTGAAAGAAAATGTTTTTGACATGAACTTGTGGATATCTTCCCACCGTTTTTAGAGAAGACCAATCAGCATTCCAAAAGTTGACTTGAGCAGGCGAAACCCCAAGCCACAGGTAGTTAGTTCATATTTGTCATGAAAAAGAGGAAAGTGTATTGGAAATTGAAACATTGGAGGGAAAACTTGAAAATAGAAAACCAATCCAGAAAATGCCCATTTAATTTTAAACTTCACACCTTGGATTTAATTTTCCTATTGTCCAAGGTCACCAAAAAGTGGGTATACCAAAAAACCTCAATTATTAAAGTAAGTCTCCCTTCCTCCCTCCCTCTCGCCCTCACCCCCTCCACCGGCCTTTTTTTTTTTTTTTTTTTTTTTTTTTTGACAGGGTTTCACTCTTTTGTGCAGGCTGGAGTGTGGTGGCATGATCATGGCTCCTGTAGCCTCGACCTCCCTGGGCTCAGGTGATCCTCCCACCTCAGCCTCCTGAGTAGCTGGGACAACAGGCATATGCCACCATGCCCAGCTAATTTTTGTATTTTTTGTAGAGACGGGGTTTCTCAAGGTTGCCCAGGCTGGTCTCCAATTCCTGGGCCCAAGGCATCTGCCTGCCTTTGGCTTCCCAAAGTGCTGGGATTACAGGTATGAGCCACCATATTCAGCCCTACGTAAGCATTCTTTTAAAACTTACCTAAACAGAATAAGTGAATTAGAGCCCAAAAATATCCATCTGGATCAAACTAGAACGCAGAATTTAAAAAAGAAAAAAATGGTTATAAGTACAGGCAAACAGGATCCAGTGTGGCCATCAGAAACCCTGTCACCAGCGCAGTGCCAAGTGAGGGTCCCAAAACAGGACTCCTGGGGCCTATGTCAGTTCCTCAGTTCCCTCTTGTTCCTCACCCAGTTGCCCACAACATCTTCCTAACAGGACTCTGCCTCGATACCCCATGCCCCACATTGCCATCACATTGTGTTCAAATCCAAACTCATGCCACCCTAAGACCACTGTGACAAGCCCCCATCCACCCCTCCGGTTGTATGTACAGCCCCCTGCTGGCCCTGAACAAGGATAACTTGCACTTTCCAAGCATGACCGCTGCCCCTCCAACTCAGCTGAGGGGACCCTCCACTTCTTCCCTTATTATTCTCCACAGGACTTCACATCATAGGACACATCCTATTTATTTCTTCCTTATTCATTTATCTGTCCCTATCTCCCCCTGCCTTCCCCTCTCCTAGATTGTACATTCCAGGGAGGCAGGAATTAGAACGGGGTAGACACATAGCAGGTGTCCAATGAGGCTGGACCGCAGGATACTCATGACACTCCAGGACTGCCCTCACCTGCTTTCTTCTCCTGGCTAACTCTGCCTGATTCTTCCAGATTTAAGTCCTGCAAGCAGAGTCTGGCTCTAACATCAGAGAGATCTGGGATAAATTCTAAAATCCCCACTTATTTGTTAGCTGGTGACCTTTTGGGCCTCCTTATTCTACGCTATGAAATGGAGATAATAATGCTCCCATCCTTACAGAAATGTTATGAGATTTTAAATGACACAAGGCACGGAAAGCACTGGCACAGAGCCTGGCACACAGCAGGCCCCTGTCATTGTGGCTGCTCCTACGTCCTGAGGCCCCATGTCTTCTTAGGTGCTTCAGAGCCTCCTGTACCCCTGGCCTCCCTGTGTGATAATGATCTGTTTACTGTTTCCCTCCCCTTTGCTCCAAATAGACTTGACTTGTGCCTGAGCAAAGATTAATTTTCCTCTTTGTGTCCCCAGAGCCTGGCTCAGGGCCTGACACTTGATGGGAACCTAATAATGCTGGGAGAGAAAAGGAGGGAGAAGAAAACAAAGAAAGAAAGGAAACCCAGAAATAAGATGACTACTGGGGGTGAGGGTGGGTCCTCAGCACTTCATAAGAAAAATTCAACTTTACCACAGGATAGTAAAGTAAAAATCATTCTGCAGGCCGGGCGCAGTGGCTCACACCTGTAATACCAGCACCTTGGGAGGCTGAGGCAGGCGAATCACTTAAGGTCAGGAGTTCAAGACCAGCCTGACCAACATTGTGAAACCTTGTCTCTACTAAAAATACAAAAAATTAGGCTGGGTGCAGTGGCTTATGCCTGTAATCCCAGCACTTTGGGAGGCTGAGGCAGGTGAATCACCTGAAGTCAGGAGTTTGAGACCAGCCTGACCAACATGGAGAAACCCTGTGTCTATTAAAAATACAAAATTAGCTGGGCATGGTGGCTCATGCCTGTAATCCCAGCTACTCAGGAGGCGGAGGCAGGAGAATTGCTTGAACCTGGGAGGCGGAGGTTGTGGTGAGCCAGGATCACATCATTGCACTCCAGCCTGGGCAACAAGAGTAAAATTCCATCTCAGAAAAAAAAAAAAAAAAATTAGCCAAGCGTGGTGGTGGGTGCCTGTAATCCCAGCTACTCGGGAGGCTGAGGCAGGAGAATCACTAGAACCCGGAGGATGGAGGTTGCAGTGAGCCGAGATCTTGCCACTGTACTTCCAGCCTGGGCAACAGAGTGAGACTCTGTCTCAAAACAAAACAAAACAAAACAAAAAGAAAAAATTACTTTGCGGGAGATGAGGCCCTTGGGAGGAGAGGAAGTCAACTTTGCCTCCATGCCTGAGCCTGGGGTAACTTGGGCGTTGGCTTGGAGGTTCACCAGGCACGGACAGAGAACAGATGGCAGGCACCACAGTGCCCAGGGGCCACAGCTCTGCGGCCACGATGGCTGCAGCCTTGGGGAGAAGGCAAAGGCCCAGGGAGACGGTGTTGCCTGGGCCCAACGCTATCCAGACTGAAAGCTTTAGAATGCTTCTGCATAGGCCAGGTTACCCTGATTCTACAAGGAAGGACTAGGAAATTCTGATCAGACACCCAGGTTTCAGAGAATAAAAGACACTTTGAAGGCAAAATGAGTTCACCTGAACTTACCTGGGAGTCATTGAAGGGAAGGCATCCTGCTGCGGCCAGGAGGAAGAGGGCACTGTGGAGAGGGAGATAAAACACTGCAGCTTCACCTTTCAACATCAAAGGTTTCCCCAAGCGGGTGGAGGTGAAGATGCATCCTCTGGAGTGTGCATGAGCCCCACATCCTGCGAGACCAACTTGGTTCCTCTGTCCCTCCTCTGTGAACCTGCTACCAGTGTAGTTTTCAATTATGTGCTCTACTCATAAGCAGACATTTCCTTCTCTGGACCTCAGCTAGCCATTTCCCAGAGCCGGGCATTTACAGGACATCTGCAAAACCACAGCTGGCTCACTCGAGGAAAATAGTGTGCCCGTGAAACATCTAATAAAATAAGCGTTTTTTTCAACTGCAGATCCCCAAAAATATACAAGTGAAAAACTGGGGAATCAGACCACAAATATGCCAATTTCAAAAATGAAAACACTACAGAAATCACATTAAAATCCTTTGTGCACCCCCACAACCAAACGATCAAACTTACTACCACCAGTAACGAGGCTGATCCACACTGTGTGCCTCTTGATATAAAACTCAGAAGGACACAACATCACTCAGGTGGTATTCCTGTCAAACATGTGGAGCATGGATTGAGCCACGAGGAGACACTGAGACAAACCAAATTTAGGGACAGTTCACAAAACAACAGGCCTTCCCTATTCAAAAATGTGAAGGCAATGAAAGATAATAAAAAGCTGAGGAACTGTTCCAGATTAAAGGGTACAAAGGAGACATCTTTTTTTTTTTTGAGATGGAGTTGGCTAGAGTGCAATGGCATGATCTCAGCTCACTGCAACCTCTGCCTCCCAGGTTCAAGCGATTCTCTGCCTCAGCCTCCAGAGTAGCTGGGATTAGAGGCATACCACCGTGCCCGGCTAATTTTGTATTTTTAGTAGAGATAGGGTTTCTCCATGTCACCATGCTTGGCCTAGACATCGTTAGAGGGGAAAAACAATATAAAAGATAATATTGTGCCAGTGCAGTGGCTCACACCTATAATCCCAGCACTTTGGGAGGCCAAGGCAGGCAGATCACTTGAGTCCGGGAGTTTGAGCCCAGCCTGGCCAATATGGTGAAACCCCATTTCTACTAAAAACACAAAAATTAGCTAGGAGTGGTGGCACATGCCTATAGTTCCAGCTACTCAGGAGGCTGAGGCAGGGGAATCACTCAAACCTGGGAGACGAAGGTTGCAGGGTGCCAGAGTGACACTCCATCTCAAAAAAAAAAAAGATACTATTGTGATAACTGGCAAAATTTAACATGGATTCAAGACTAAATAATAATATCAGATCAGACGTTATTTTCTACATTCAATGATTGCACTTTGGGTATCTAAGGGATTGTTTTTAGGAGACACAGTTTGAGGTACTTAGGAATAGATTCATGACCTCTACAACTTATTCTCAAACAATTCAGAAAATATAAGAGCAAGAATAATACCTACATTATCATATATTTAATGTGATATGTGTGTGTGTGTGTGTGTGTGTGTGTGTGTGTGCGCGCGTGTACAGTGAGATAGCAAGAAAGCAAATGCAAAAAATGTTACCAATGGGTGAATCTAGGTGAAGAATACATGGGAGTTCACTGGAATATTCTTGCTACCTTTCTGTAGGTTTAAATTTTCCCTCATAAAACATTTTATTAGAAAAATCTCTTAAACATACTAAAATATTCACAGATTAAATACTAAGATGACTGGAAAAAATACTGAAGCAAGGCAGTGGGTGGGGCCAGAAGCTGAAAATGGCTGAAGCTGAGAATTGGATGCACAGGACCTCATTCATTACACTATTCTGTTTACTTTAATATATATTTAGAAATTTCCACAATAAAGCAATTTTTAAAAATTCTTGCACAGAAAGTAACATTGCCAAACCCAGATATTTTCAGGAAGCGATCCTCACTCATTAGAAAGTCAACTTGGAGCTGGTTCAGTAATCCCTGGTTTACAGCCTATTCCTTCTAAGTTTCATATGCCAAAAGCTCTTGCCTCTAGCTTTCCCCACCCTCTCTTCGTCAAAGAAGGTGCCAGAAAGCACAAAACCGAAATTATCACTTAGTCTCTCTCCTCTTTCCATTTTATCGAGGCAACATATACATCGTGTCCCTTGACTACTGACTATTCCATCAGGCAGCATACAGCAAAAGATCAAAGGCATGAAAGAAAGCACCAAATACAACGTTTTCACTCTCAGGGAATTTTGCCATATGTGATCTCCTACCAACATATATTCTGCATTCTACATAGAGACTACATGTTTTTTATATGCACACATAGACATATATGCAACACACAACAACTTGTGTGTAATCTTAGTAAACTGAAAACCGGGTTGCTGATTAATTCTGGCGGTCCTCATTGCTGTAACCATGTGTGGTTGTCCAGTGTACCTAACAGACCAGCACTGACTGGCTGGGCGAGGGGCAGGAGGACTGGAAGAACGGTCCTCAGAGCTGGGGCCCCACAGCCTTGGGAAGGTCAGGACAACTGTGGCAGCCTGAGGCTCAGGACACTTCTCTACCCCAGCCCGCCCACTCCTATAGCCTTGCTGACTTTCAAGGTACCCCAACACACAAATGACCTAGAGAAGAATCCAAAGCAAAAGTGGGGTAAGATGAGGGAAGACTCAGGGGAGCTTCTTGGGCCTGCCTACGAAAAGACAAGGTTTTAGAGTGGGAAGAGAAGAGAATCCTGATGGGTTTGGTGTCTACCTATAGTTAAAGGCTTTACAGAATAGAGGATGCTTCCCCATCCATGGGGAAGGAGCATCAGAGATCCCCCCAAACAGAGAACCTCTTGGGGTTGTGGAAGACAAGGGATGCCCAAGTGTGAGACAGCTGCCTGCCTTCCCTCCCAAGCAGTACCTGATTGAATCAGGTATTATGAACTTTCCTGCCTCTCTTTGACAGCTGCTAATCTCCTTTTAAGCAGGAGGATAAGTCCTGAAGTTTGGTTTTGTCTTGTTCTTTCAAGGTGCAACCTGTAATAAAGGAATAAAAGGAGGGTGGGGGATTGGATTGGATGAAAGCCCAGAAATATCTGCAGCAGAAATCCTAAATCCATCTATCAAAGCACCTCTGTTGGTTTTCTGTCTCCAGGACTTAGCTGCTTGGCCTGCAGAGGAAGCGGGAAGCAGTCAGATGCAAGGCACCCAGGTTGCAATTCCAATGCTGCAGGCACCAGGGTCTCCAGGAGAGAACGGCCTGGTTTATGCTCCAGCTGAGGAAACTGAGGCACAGAGGATGAGGAAAGCTGCCCGTGATTGCCCTGCTGTGGCCCAGGACTGCAGTTCAGACCTCAGGACTCACAGGCTGGTGCTTCTTTCACCACAGAAAATATTAAAGACCAAACAGACTGCAAACATTACTTTTAAATTTTGAAGTCGTTTCCATGTTTTTCATTTTCATTCTCATCAGTATCACACAACTATTAGTAAGGTTTTGGGCATTAGTGACTGAAATCTACCCCAGGTTGGTTCTGATGTTTTCTCTTTTGGAATAAAATACTTCAGAAAGAAAAGAGAAACACAGGAAATTTTAGACTAAGACACAAATCAGAGATACATGAATGATTGTAATAAATTATTATGCCACCTTCCAGAGTGTGAATCTTCAACAGTTTATCATCCAAGTTGAAATTAGGTTAAATCTTATATTAGGGCCTTTTGTGGAGAGGACAGTAAACTTACCTACAGATCTTTGCAGGAGATGTTTTCTGTATAAAAGGAATGAAACGTACAATTAGACTTTTAAAACTTTTTAAATTCCTCTTCAAAGGAAACATTTTGATCAAGAGGCAAACAAATTATGAGTAGATTTATCAAGGGCTTAATAGCTTGCTGCACTTTAGTATTTACTGAGGCTTTTCTGCTTGGACCAAATGAAGGATGACTCAGAATTCCAGAGTCGAGTCACTTCAGCAAAGTGCTTTCACCATCAGAATGGTGTTGACTCGTGAAAGACAAAATGACGCTGGGGCCCTGCCGTCAAAAAATCTTACACACTAAGATGAGGAGAGAGAAAGAAATAGATGAAACCTGTATTTTAAAAAGCAATTAAGCTCTTGTTCTCTTTCTCTCTCATCTATCTATCTATCTATCGATCTATCTATCTAATCTCACTCTGTTGCCCTGGCTGGAGTGCAGTGACATGATCACTGCAACCTCAAACTCCTGGGCTCAAGCAATCCTCCCACCTCAGCCTCCTGAGTAGCTAGGACTTTAGGACTACAGGCATGCACCACCATGTATGGCTAATCTTTTTGTTTGTTTGTTTTTAATTTTTATAGCATCAGGATCTTGCTATGTTGCCCAGTGGTACTGAATTCCTGGCCTCAAGTGATTCTCCTGCCTCATCCTCCTGAAGCACTGGGATTACAGGCATGAGCCAATGCACCCAATCTCAACTTCTATTCTAATTCTGTCTCTTTTAATATTCCATTCACTAATCCAGCTGACTCTGAGCAGTCCTAAAAACTATGTGGTGTGGTGTGATATGAAAATTAAAAAACACAGAAGGGATATTTTATTCCACCCCAAGAAAGAAGGGGAAAAAAAGTAGGCTGGGGAAATATAAACTTGGCATTTGAACTACATGAAATGAAGAAATCCTGATTTGGACTCTACTCTTATCAACTCCTTTTGATGAGTTAGTTTAAGGAAATCAGATCTTTGTACTGAGAAGTAATTTGTACATGTTAACAGAGAGTAACACGTTAGCAGAGGGTAACACAGATTTTTCTATATTTGATAGAGGAAATAAACAGGTACGATTAATCCTTTGATTAATTCTAAGCACTTCGGAAAGATTATTCTGCTAGTTGGGAACAAACTACAATTTTTGATGCCAGTTCAGGCAGTGTGAAGCATAAACATCTTGTTTAGAAGTAAAGAGCTGACAAGAGAAACATGTGGCTTACTACAAAGGCTACCTTCAGTTTTCACGTGTGCTGAAACAATAAAGTTTCCCCTGTTTTAATGAACAGATTCTATTTGTGTACAAAGCTGTGGCTTGTATCTTTAAACTCTAATCTTGATCTTGGTCCAACCCTACCGCTGCAGAGCACAGGACACGAGGCCAACCGTGCTGTACTGCCACCTGCTGGGAGGTTTGCCCTTAAGAACCAAAAGAAGGAGGGCAAAGGTGATCTGGCTCATGCATAACTGCCCCCATACAGTAAATGTGTTATTCAAAAATTCTTTTTTTTTTTTTTTTTTGATATGGAGTGTTGCTCTGTAGCCCAGGCTGGGGTGCAGTGGCGCGATCACGGCTCACTGCAACCTCTGCCTCCTGGGTTCCAGCGATTCTCCTGCCTCAGCTTCCAAGCAGCTGGGATCATAGGCATGCGCCACCACACCCAGCTAATTTTTGTATTTTTTGTGGAGATGAGGTTTCGCCATGTTGGCCAGGCTGGCCTCAAGTGATCTGCCCACCTTGGCCTTCCAAAGTGCTGGGATTACTGGCATGAGCCACCTTGCCCAGCAGTTACTCAAAAATTGAGCTAAACATAACCAAAACCTCAACAGCCTGGTGTAAGAGCAGAAATGGAGAGGAGGGACTAAAGGGATGTTCTTCCCCTTCCATGACTAGCTTGTTCACCCAGGAACTTTCAGAGCTAACGTTTCAGGCCAAAAGAGCCGGCCCCTTCCATAGAGGGGAGTAAAAGAGCACAGATCTTGAGATATAGAGAGTAAAAACAGGCAGTATGTTCATTACTTAGTTCCATCTCCCAGGGCTCTGGATATGGCTGAGTCCATGGCAGGCATTTTCCTTTTTAGGATCCTCAGTCCAAAATAATCTAGCAACAAGTCCTACGGAAGCCTCAGGGTTCCAAAACCCTGAGATTAATGTAACTCCTCAAAAGTCATGCTGCCAAAGGGCCGGGCATGGTGGTTCATGCCTGTAATCCCAGCACTTTGGGAGGCTGAGGCAGGCAGATCACTTGAGGTCAGGTGTTCAAGAACAGCCTGGCTAACATGGCAAAACCCCATGTCTACTAAAAACACCAAAAATTAGCCAGGCATGGTAGTGCATGCCTGTAATCTCAGCTACTTGGGAGGCTAAGGCAGGAGAATCGCTTGAACTAGGAGGCGGGGAGTGCAGTGAGTGGAGATTGCACCATTGCACTCCAGCCTGGGTGACAGGGTCAGGCTCTGCCCCCAAAAAAAAAAAAAAATAGTCGTGCTGCCAAAGTTAACAATAAATAGCTGACATTCCTCTGAGTTAGCTAGCTGAACTGCGAGGGCTACTCACTCTGCCAGGTGTGGTTCTGAGGGCTCTACATGTATCGAATCCTTTAATCCTGGTGTAAGTAACAGTCACGGGTTCTATGTTACAGAGGAGGAGAGTAGAGACACTGAGGAATAAGGGAAGCTGCCCACCGCCTGCCTGCCAGTCCTGCGGTGTCACCCCTGGTGGCCTCCTTAGCCACCACTCGATGCCCCCTCTGCCTGCCTGACAAGGAGAGAGTCCTTTCTCTCTGTCAAATTGCAAAGTCCCTTCCCATCCTCCCCAACTCAGCTCAAATCTCACCACTAGGGAAGCTTTCCTTGCTCCTCCCATGCCGACTTACTAGAGCTCACCTGCTGGCCCACCCATGCCCTGTGTCAGCCCAAGTGTACAAGCCAGCCCCTCCATTCAACTCTGGGTTATGGCTAAGAAATACATCTCCTGGGGCCCAGCACAGTGGCTCATGCCTGTAATCCCAGCACTTTGGGAGGCTAAGGCAGGTGGATCACGAGGTCAGGAGATCGAGACCATCCTGGCTAACACCGTGAAACCCTGCCTCTACTAAAAATACAGAAAATTAGCCAGGTGTGGTGAAACCCTGCCTCTACTAAAAATACAAAAAATTAGCCAGGTGTGGTGAAAACCTGCCTCTACTAAAAATACAAAAAATTAGCCACATGCCTGTGGTTCCAGCTACTCAGGAGGCTGAGGTAGGAGAATCACTTGGACCAGGGAGGCAGAGGTTGCAGTGAGCGGAGATTGCACCACTGCACTCCAGCCTGGGCAACTGAGTGAGACATTTTCTCAAAAAAAAAGAAAAAAAAAAAAAAAAAAAAAAAAAGAAATGCATCTCCTACATCTCTGCAGCTTTAGGCCTAGCAAAATGTTTGACATTTCATAGGTACTTGATAAATGCTGAATAAATGAATAAACAAATAGGAGTATTCTAATATTAAACTGTGATAAATAAGTCTTCAAGGTAGTTAGATTAATTCCTCTAGCCATGCATCGCCTTACAGTCAAACTGTGTGTGTGTGTGTGTGTGTGTGTGTGTGTGTGTGCATGAATACACAAAGATCTTGTTCTGGATGGTGAAAATGAACTCTACACATCCAGATAGCTTATTTTCATAATCTGGGAACGAAGTCTCAAGGAGGTCAACTTTTACTCTCCAAAACTGATCCTAGTAAAATCTACACCCAGTAGACAAAATACTCCTAGTTGTAACATTTAACAGTCTCTGAGGTGGCATCAAGTGTGTTCCTGATGATAAGGGATTACTTCTTCAAGGCTCCTAGCTGTATCATCAGAAACATAAGTCTCATCAAGAACATATCACAGCGGCATCATAGAACAGATTTAACCCTAAACTGCTGAAAAACACCTACAATTCTATAAATAGGCAACGGCCAACACATGCTTCAACCAATGTGGATGACAGCCTGAAGAGGAATTCCTGACAAACTGTAAAATGGAAAGCCAGAATGTATCTTACATTTGTGTAAATATATCCACATATGTGCATAGGAAAAAAGTCTGAAAGAATAGAGTGGTTTCAGCCTGGTGTGGTGGTTCACGCCTGTAATCCCAGCACTTTGGGAGGCCAAGGCAGGCAGAGCAGGAGGTCAGGAGTTCGAGACCAGCCTGACCAACATGGTGAAACCCCATCTCTACTAAAAATGCAAAAATTAGCCAGGCATGGTGGCACCTATGATCCCAGCTACTTAGGAGGCTGAGGAAGGAGAATCACTTGAACCTGGAAGGCAAAGGTTGAGCCGAGATCACACCACTGCACTCCAGTCTGGCGACAGAGCAAGACTCCGTCTCAAAAAAAAAAAAAAAAAAAAAAATAGAATGGTTTCTTCAGAGAAGTAGAAACACAGTTGATTTCTGGGTTTTTAGAGTCAGGGTCTCACTGTTGCTGAAGCTGATGCAGTGGCAGAATCATGGCTTCCTGCAGCCTCAAACTCCTGGCTTTAAGTGATCCTCCTGCCTTGGCCTCCCAAAGCTTTGGGATTACAGGCATAAGCCACTGTGCCTGGTCTCCCTCTGTATTTTCTACAACATCTTAAATCTTCTTAGATTTATAAAGGAGAGAAAGGTTTAATAACTAAAAAATAAAAATTAAAAAAAAAGTTACTCACTCACTTTTTTTCTAGTTTTGTCCCGACAAGAAATGTTTTATGTGAGTGATGAAATGGAGTTAAAGATTCAAAATCTTACGGTGTTCATTCAGTTATTTCAAAGTTCAGGGCCTCTCAGACAGACATCTGCCCTGGTCTCTAGAATGGAAGAGGTCCCCTTCTGGATGGAAGCATCCCTAAAAGACTTTCTAACCCTGAGTCTTACAGTCACCCTTGTCTACAGGCTCTGACCTGCCCATCAGGAAGCAAAACCCTGTGCAGATGCCTTGATCTTGTCCCTGGACCAGGCAAATCTTCATTTCTAAATTCATAAGAAAGTATCCTGGTATAGAAAGTAAGAGAAAAAAAAAAAAAAAGTATCCTGGGTGGGCATGGTAGCTCATGCCTGTAATCCCAGCACTTCAGGGGGCCCAGAAGGGCTCATCACGAGGTCAGGAGTTTGGGACTAGCTTGGCCAACATGGCGAAACCCCATCTCTAGTAAAAATATAAAAAATTAGCTGGGTATGGTGGCAGACGCCTGTAATCCCAGCTATTTGGGAGGCTGAGGCAGAAGAATCGCTTGAACCAAGGAGGCGGAGGTTGCAGTGAGTAGAGATTATGTCACTGCACTCCAGCCCGGGTGACAGTGCAAGACTCTGTCTCAAAAAATAAAAAAGAAGAAAGAATCCCTTTGGAGAATATGAAGCCTTTCTAGAATTTGCACAGGTCAGGTTCCCAGGGCTAAGCCACTCTCAGAGAGGTTCTGCCCCTGAACCTCAGTGACCGCTTAGTGATTCTTTAACTCAGTCCGGGGATTCAGGGAAGCTGGCCTGAGACATGAGGAAAATAATGCCATATCTCCCCTAAGAAACCATTGATTGTAAAACTACCACTTATTTTATGTACTAGAAAGAAAGAAAAAGAAATTACACCAGGTCACATCATTGATTTTAAGAGCCTTCCCACTGTAGATAGTGAAAGAAAAGCAGCACATGCTAGAATTGATGGACTATGGAAACTGCATGATGGTGCTGTAAGTCAAATGTCAGAAACAGGTGTCCATCCAGGGAACCCTCCAGACACAGAGGCCTCCACCTCCCAGCCTTGGCGGGGGCACTGCCAAATAGAAAACCACAACTGTCTAAGCCCAGGGCTACTCACTCCAGGCCCTGCCCAAGGGCTCAGGGGATCAAGCTCTTCCTTCTCAGTCCCGGCCAGGCAGCCTGGAGAAGAAGATGAGGGTTGAACTAGGGTGGAGGAGGCACAGACTTGGTAACAGGCTGGATGTGGTGGGTAGGGGATACGGGGAGTCCAACAAGCCTCCTAGGTTTCTGACTTGGGGATGACGACCAGGACTGGGGCTACCAAGTGAGAAGAAGCAGGTCTGGAGAAACAGATCAGTTTCATTTCAGATGCCCGGGGAGAACCATAGTACAGCAAGCCCCCGGGTGCTGCAGAGGAGCTGACCTCTACAGGGAGGTCTGGGCTGGAGATGGAGACTTGCGGGTCCTCTATGAACAGAAGGTACCTGGCGCAATGGGTGTGGGTGAGATTTTCCAGAAAGTATGTGGCATAAGGAAACAGCCCAGAGAGATCCTGAAGAGGCAGGCAAAAAGGAAGAGAAAGACAGATGAAGAAAAAGCCCACGACCCAGGAAGGGAACCAAGCAAGAAGTAGGCGTGGAGGCCAAGGGGGTCCAGAAAGGCTGGGGAGAAAGTGGGGGGGCAATCATGCAAACAGACATGATAAGGTGCACAGATGAAGCCGCCAGTGCCTTCATCTCAGGGCAGTCTCAGGGGAATGGTGGCGGGGAAGCAGGAGCAACAGAGGTGACAGGGACAAGAGGGCAGGGACAACACCAAGCCTGGCCCTGTCTGAGGCCTGTGGCAGGGGAGGGGAGAGAAGAGGTGAGGCAGAGTGGGAGGTGCCCAGGCAAGGCAGCTTGAGATTTTTCTGTGTGAGGGTTGGTTTTATAAACACACCCTTCCAGGGCTGGTGAAGTGAGTCTCTTCTCTCTCTCATTGTCACACGGGAAGGAGAGCCCACCCTCTCATCAGTGCACTTATATCACCAAACATGTTTATGGGCCCAGGAAACTAAGCCAGCAGCAGGGAGAGGCTCACAGTATAGGAGAGCGGAGAGGTGACAGAGCCACCTCCAAGGAGCCGTGGGATGACAGAGGGAGGTCGGGTATGGCCACGGGCTCCCTTCCTGCACACCTGTAAGCATGTGGCCTGAGGTGGCCAGTTGGCCTCTCTATAGTTTAGAAGTTCCAAAAATTGGGCAGGGTGTGATGTTTAACACCTGTAATTCCAACACTTTCGGGGGCTGAGGCAGGAGGAGTATCATTTGAGCATAGGAGTTCAAGAATAGCCTGGGCAACATAGCAAGACCCTACTCTAAAAATAAAAATTTAAAAGTAGCCAGGTACAGTGGCTTATGCCTATGGTCCTAGTTGCTCAGGAGGCTAGGGCAGAAAGATCACCTGACACCAGGAATTTGAGGCTGCAGGGAGCTATCAGTGTGCCACTGCACTCCAGCCTGGGCAACAGAGCAAGACCCTATCTCTAAAATAAAAATAAATTGAAATGTTCCAAAAATTGGTATGAAACCAAACTAGCAAATTCCAGGGAAAAAAAACTCCCAAAAGCAAGAGCAAATTAAAGCCACCTCTAATAACATTATTAATCATTGCTGATGTGCAGAACACCTACTGTGTGCCGAAACAGCTGGAAACACTCACTTAACAGGGGTATTGCTGAGTCCTTCCAAAAACAAGGACCGTGCAAGGTAGTAATACTGACACCACTTTGTTCAAGCTGGTGTTATTACTACCACCTTGCACAGATGGAGGCCTGGAAGGTGAACGAGCTTGTTCTAGCTGCTATGAGGTATAGCTGGGATTGCAGAGAAAAGCAAATTTCCCTGGGTTGGGCTAGCGCCACAGCACCCTGTGTGAAACTGTTACGCCTTGTCCTGTGGTGCTGGATTGGCTGGGGATGGGAATGTTTCCCCACCAGGCCCACAGCAAACTCTTGTCTCCCAAGGGTCTGGGTCAGCCTGGCCTGGAGCTGAGCTCTGTTCACATCAACAATATTCCCAATACGTCTAGTGAATTGCAGCAAAGTCCAAACTGTGTCCCATGATATCAGTGACCACTGTCAGGCAGTCTTTCCTGGAGACTGGTGGCAGGAAAAGGCAGACACTAATTTGGACCATAAAAAGAAAAGTGCTTCTTTGAAACTTAAAACAAGGAAGCAACACTAGCATTTTGCACGATCGTTTACCTCTTTCCGAAAACACTTCTGGTACCCACAGATGATAACTTCGGCTACATTATGCAAAGTGAGAAACACAGGAATGGCCTGAAAGAAAACAGAACAAGAAGCATGAAAATATTTTCTTCAATCTCATAATCATGTGGTTCTTGGTTTTTTGCTTAAAAATAATGAGCTGTGGAAACGTTTGGCATTCACATATATAATCACTCCAGCAAAGACTTCTACGTGGATTAGCGCCCTTTGCTGCAGTATTCCTCTCGGTGGGTGGATGAAGAGGTTGCCCTCCTAGAGGCATTCTCATCAACAAACAGGTAAGTGTCCTGTGTGTCAGGCGCTGTGTCAGGTGCAGGGAACACATCCCATGAAAGGTGGGCATGGCCTCTCAGGTGAGAGCTCAGATGGGGCATGCAGAAAAGTGCACCCGGCCCAGCACGCAGAGAGCAGGCTTTCTTGGAGGAAGAAAAGGCCAAGAAACTTGGACTTCAAAGTCAAGTGAAGGAATGAGAACCGAATCATGAAGCGGCATGGGCCAAACAAAGACTGAGGAGGTAGCAAAGTGTCATACCAAGGCCCAGAGAGAGACGATCCAGCTTCTCCGGGGAATGGGAAGAAGTGGGACATGGTGAACCGCAATGAGGAAGGGAGGAGCAAGGGACAGGAAGATAGAGAGGTATTCACAGGACACACTGGGAAACAGGATGGTTCTGAGGGCCCCCAGAACCAGCGAGGAGTTTTAAAGCTGACCATGACATGATCTGCATGTTTAGAGGAACTTGGGCTGCAGGGTGGAGGGCAGGGGGCAGAGAGGGCTGCAAAAGTCTAGGGGTGCCATAGGATGAAAAACGGCCCCTTAAAAGACATCCACATCCCAATCCCTGGGACCTGTAAATGTCTGATATGGCAACAAGGGGTCTTTGCAAATGTGAGTAAATTGAAGATCTTGAGACAGGCAGATTCTCCTGGATTATCAGGTGAGCCCTAAATGCAATCACACATATCCTTATAAGAGGAGGCAGGGATATGACAAGCACAGAGAAGGGGCAATGTGACTACAGAGGCAGAGACTGGACTGATGTAGCCACAAGCTGGGCAATGCCATGGCCACCAGAAGCTGAAAGAGACAAGGAACAGACCCTCACCTAGAGGCTCAGGACCGGGTGCAGCCCTGCCGACACCTTGATTTCAGACTTCTGGCCCCCAGAACTGTGAGGGATACATTTCTGTCATTTTAAGTCACCCAAGCATGTGGTAATTTATCACAGTAGCCACAGAAACTAACATACGGAAGGACAAGATGGTGACCTGAACTTGGTAGTGGCAGTGAAGACGGAGGGGCCACATCAAAGAAATATTTAGTAATGTTTCAGCAATTTAGAACTGAAGCAAATTATTGAATAACTGGATAAACTCTCACAAAAAAAAAAGTGGGAGGAGAAAATATAAAAAATGTAACCACCCATTATTAGGATACACTGCACGTTTCCCATTGCTGGGACATTTGTTAAAAGTGGCATTCTCTCCTAATGGATAGGTAACCTTGACAGGGTGAAGGGGGAGAATGAGAAGGAGAGGAATTCTGTTGTTTTAGGTTTTTTTGTTTGTTTTTGTTTTGTCTTTTTTGAGATAGAGTCTTACGCTGTTGCAGGTGCTGGAGCGCACATGGTGGCGCCATCTTGGCTCACCGGACCTCCCTCTCCTGGGTTGAAGCGATTCTCAGCCTCCCTAGTAGATGGTACTTCAGGCGCCTGCTAGAACACCTGGCTAATTTTTGTATTTTTTTAGTAGAATCAGGTTTCACCATGTTGGCTAGGCTGGTCTTGAACTCTTGGCCTCAAGTGATCCACCTGCCTCAGCCTCCCAAAGTGCTGGGATGACAAGCATGAGCCACTACCCCTGGCCTATTATCTTTCTTGTTGATAATGAAAATGATGCTTCCTGGATGGCAAAAAAATGAGAGTAAGAGCACAGGTTTTATCATCACTCTGGGCTCCAGCTCCACCACCTGCTAGTGGGGCAAGGTATGCATCCAAACTTGTGTTTCCTCCTCTGTAAAGCAGGGATAACAATACCCCATAGCCTGGAGCTGCCAAGAGGGATGACCCAAATACTACAGGTTAAGGACCTTAACGAATGGCTTAGGAGGACTGCACAAAGAGGGTCAATATCACTAACTGGTAGCCCCGCCCTCAGCAGGCTCTACAGAGGATCGGCTTGGGTAAATTGCTCCCGTTTAGAGGACCTGCTTCAAAATTAGGCTGCTCGCCTACTTTCAGAGGAATTTATTCTTTATCTTTGTGAAGGACATATTTTTACCTTGTTTTTAAAACTTCTATGCCTTTATATAGCTGTGCCATTTTAGTAATCTGTTCTAACTCGCACTGTTTCATTTCTGAGTTCTTGCCTTACATTTTTCTTACCTTTTTAAAAGAACATTTTCTATTTTTATCTTTCATTAAAAGTTCAACTCAAATTGTTTTTTTCTTTTAAAATGAAACTATTTTAGTTTCTATTTTTGCATTTATTTTTGTGTTTCTTTTTATGCCTCTTACATTTTTAGATTGTAAGTTATATTTTATGTCTGTTAATATTATTAAAGAGATTATATATTTTAAAGTTGGCTTTCTGCATTAGGCCCATGTTTGCCAGACTTGGGCCCTGGCCTTCCAATTCTTGGCTTAAAAGGACAGCAAAAAAAAAAATCTTGGATGGGTTAATCACATGACACATGAAAGCTAATATTAAAGTAGGGGCTGGATCTGATCCAATTAAGATCTTATGTAAATGTTTTTTTGCTTCCTTGGCTATAAAATCAGTAATGAGATCAGATTTAGAACTGAGATTACGGAATTCTAGACCCAACTTTAGACTTCAAGGAGGCTTAATTTTCTCAATGATAGGACCTGGAGGCTGTTTTCTCAATCTCCCTAGGTCCTTACTCTGATCAGATTCTGGAAAAGGAACTATTTATTCATGCAGAATTAATTTTAAAGTACAATAACAATAGCCACCAACAATGTGTTAAACATAGTGCTAAGTATTTTATGTGTATTCCCTTATTTAAACCTCCTCCCAGCACCTCTCTTAGTAGATGCTATTACCTTGATTTTATAAACAAGGAAAATGAGGCTGAGAAAGACTGGCCACTTGCTTGAGTATTCACAGCTGGTTCAGCGGCAAAGCCATGACCCCAATCCAGGCCTGTCTAACTGCAAAGCCCACACCTTCTAGCCCTGGTGTTATGACACCCAAATTATGTCAAGCCACAGTGAAAACTTCCTGGACCTCCAACTGTCCAAAGTTCGGTATGACTGGTGTGTTCCAAATCCTGGCCGTCCACTTACACCAGTAACAGACCTACTGATATGGTTTGGCTCTGTGTCCCCACCCAAATCTCATGTCAAATTGTAATTCCCAATGCTAGGAGAAGGACCTAGTGGGAGGTGATTAAATCATGGGGGTGGATGTCGCCCTTGCTGTTCTTGTGATTGTGGTTCTTATAAGATCTGGGTGTTTGGCCGGGCGCGGTGGCTCAAGCCTGTAATCCCAGCACTTTGGGAGGCCGAGGCGGGTGGATCATGAGGTCAAGAGATCGAGACCATCCTGGTCAACATGGTGAAACCCCGTCTCTACCAAAAATACAAAAATTAGCTGGGCATGGTGGCGCACGCCTGTAGTCCTAGCTACTAGGGAGGCTGAGGCAGGAGAATTGCTTGAACCCAGGGGGCGGAGTTTGCGGTGAGCCGAGATCATGCCATTGCACTCCAGCCTGGGTAACAAGAGCGAAACCCCGTCTCAAAAAAAAAAAAAAAAAAAAAAAAAAGATCTGGGTGTTTAAAAGTATATGGCTTGTCCCACTTCATTCTCCTTCTCTCCTGCTCCACCGTGGTGAGAGGTGCTTGCTTCCCCTTCCCCTTCTGCCATGATTGTAAGTTTCTTGAGGCCTTCCTGCCGTGATTCCTGAACAGCCTGCAGAACTGTGAGTCAGTTAAACATCTTTTCTTCATAAATTACCCAGACATGTGGTTCTGGTTGTTTTGTTTGTTTGTTTGTTTTTGAGATAGAGTCTTGCTCTGTTGCTTAGGCTGGAGTGCAGTGATGCTAACTTGGCTCATTGCAACCTCCACCTCCTGGGCTCAAGTGATTCTCCTGCCTCAATCTCCCAAGTAGCTGGGACTACAGGTGCCTGACATGACACCCAGTTAATTTTTGTATTTTTAGTAAAGACAAGGTTTGACCACATTGGCCAGGTTGGTCTTGAACTCCTGATCTCAAGTGATCTGCCAGCCTCAGCCTCCCAAAGTGCTGGGATTACAGGCTGGGCCACCATGCCTGGCCAGTCAAGTATTTCTTTATAGCACTGTGAAAATGGACTAATACATCTGGTAAGAATTAAAATGGATGAACTCAGAATAAACCTATACCTTTTTTAAAAAGGCTTTCTTGTACTCCCACTTAAAAAAATTTAAATCTATTTTCTCAAGCTATTTTTTCTACTGAGAAGCAAATAGGCTTTAAAGACCATTATTCTACAGTTGGCCAGTTATACTCTATAAGCCTGTGTAGGGTTCTATCAAAAACATTATTGGGTCAGGCATGGTGGTGGCTCACGCATGTAATCCCGGCACTTTGGGAGGACAAGGCAGGCAGATCACGAGGTCAGGAGTTTGAGTCCAGCCTGACCAACATGGTGAAATGCCATCTCTACTAAAAATGCAAAATAAACAGCCAGGTGTGGTGGGACGTGCCTGTAATCCCAGCTACTCGGGAGGCTGAGGCAGGGGAATTGCTTGAACCAAGGAGGCGGAGGTTGCAGTGACTGAGATCAAGCCACTGTACTCTAGCCTGGGTGACAGAGTAAGGCTCCACCTCAAAAAAAAAAAAAAAAGAAAAAGAAAAAAAAAAAAAATATATATATATATATATACACACACATATATAAAGACAGTTTACAATTTTTTTTTTTTTTTTTTTGAGACAGAGTCTCATTCTGTTGCCCAGACTGGAGTCCAGTGGTGCTATCTTGGCTCACTGCAACCTCTACCTGCCAGGTTCAAGCGATTCTCCTGCCCCAACCTCCCAAGTAG